TGTGTAATTAGATTTGATAAATGGATAATTTCAACAAAAAGTTTCTTAATCAGTTGTATAAAAAGGCTTCTTCTATGAATGGAATGACCTGTTCGAAGCACGAACTCCTGTAGACCAAACCCAGTACCGTTATGATTTTTAGTCGTACGGGAAATCCACTCACGATGCATTATAGGCCCTTTGGCCGACATAGGACTCAGGTGCCAGACTGTGACCTTCAGGCACTCTCCCATTCAAAATCTATACCCTACCACTAAAAAATAATTTTCCTATTTCTTAAACCTATTTACTATGCTATATTCAACCTTAATACTGTCTTATTTCTTACTATTGTATTATGTACACACAAATAAATTCTAATATAATATTTTTAATTAATTTATAAAGTAATTTAGATAATGAATTATTAAATAAGTGATTAAAAACTAAATTATTTTTATACATTAAAAATTAACGTAGGCCTATTTTTCAAGCGTTTCAATAAAGTAGATGTTGATGCGTACATGGATGCAAAACCATGCGTTAAAATATAGAACAAAATTACACGCGTTATCTACACGCGCAAATTTTTTAAACAGACGAAAAGAACGTTCATCATCATATCATAGCAGAACAAACAACAAAACCACATACACATACAGCGATGCACTGGACATGATTATGTTCATACGATTATAATATACGTACTTCTAGGTAAGACATTTGTTTTTAGTTTGTTTTCTAAACATTAATTATTCTTTATTTCATATAAAGAGATTTTGGAAATCACTTAAGGTCCGATTCAATTTGAATTATGAAAAGTGTAGGCTGTGGCACCGAGATCTCTGATGACTAGTGCCCAAAATTGTTTACAAAAACGTGATGCAATAATAGCATATTGACTACTATTGTATATTTTTCGGAAATAATTTCATCCGCTCCTAATCTCTTTCCTTTTCTTCCTTCTTCCTTTATTCTTTCACAATTTTACGTTTTATTCATATTTTCCATAATGTTATACACTCACATGATATAGTCACTCGTTTAGACCTAGCCTAGGCTGGACCTCGGCTATGCCTACTATATTATTTAAAATATAAAAAATGTTAATTGATAAGATTAATTTTACATGAATATAGTAATTTTAATTCATACCTAAACAATACATTAGGTTTAAATGTAAATACTGTATAATGACATAACAATTAAATAACAATAATTTAAACGTGTACATAGTATCTATCACTGCTACAATAATAAGATTAATATTTTTCAATCTTATAATCAATTTTATATAGGAAGAGTTAGTTTCGATCTGGGCAAACCTTTGCTAATAGGTACACTTTCTCCATCAAAAGGCTTCTTCTATGAATGGAATGACCTGTTCGAAGCACGAACTTCTGTAGACCAAACCCAGTACCCTTATGATTTTTAGTCGTACGGGAAATCCACTCACGATGTGGACGTAAAAAATTATTGGTTACAGATGATAATTGCAGTTCAGGTGTTATGTGCTTGGATTATCTCGTTTGGAGACATCTGTTCTAATAATTAATAGATTGAGACGTTCCTATTTGAAAATATACAGTATTGTACTGTGATATATTTATTGTTGTATGTTTAGAAATTTTTATTGTGTATTATTGGATCTGATAAAGCTTTAGAGATATGTAATTTTTGAGATTTGTATTCATGTTGTAAGCATTTCTACTTAGTAACATAACTGACATTTTTTTTTTAGGTCACGGTCCGTTTTCTCATTTGTTTGATGGAAAATTCATACCGAAGATTGCGCCAAAAAAAAGGTGGTCAGTAAGTACTGTAATTTGATGCTAGAAAAAAAATCATAT